ATCTGCTTAGTGACGATCTCAGTCATAGTACTGTTAAAGAAAATGGCAAATCATAACAGAAGTATGAACAATCAAATATAGCCTTTAGCTTTCATTTCACTTTACGCATTACATGACATAATTGAATATTCATTCCACTTCTTTTCTATCTAACTTATTACAATAAATATGTCAGGTGTTTTTTGGGGGGCAGGTATCATAATGATAATAAATACCCATTAATGGTTTAAATTTGATTTGCTACAACAAACAGAAAACCTGAAAAACTAAACACTTGATCTCCTATAAAGCAAATATGGAAAGAGGCAGGGGTTTTTTGTATTTTTTTTAAATTTTACTCACATCCAGTGTAATTTTCCATTGATTTGTTCTTATACCACTCATTCTCTGTTCCAAAGATAGTATGCAATAACATCTGTTCTACACCTTATTTTTTGTCAGTAATTATGCCTTGAAGAACCTTCTGTAAGATTATACAGAAAGCTTACTCCTTCAGTTTATGCTGTATAAAATTTCATGTCTTAGTGTAACAATTTATTTAACTAGTCCTCTTTATGAAAATTAGGCAACTACACAGCTTCATAGCCAACTGACCACTCTAATTTCCAGATCCTTCTTCATTTAAGGCCCCTATAGATTTCTCTTACTTTGCTCAGCTATAAGCTTAAAGGAAATTAGTTACATTTTATGAAGCACTTCTAGATGTTTTCAGAGACCAGAAAGGAGGGGTCGCTTATCATATGACTTGTCAGATCTATTTTGCAAAATGGCAGCCTAATCAAGGCTATTTCCAGCCTATCACCAGCTATTTGTGGCAAACTAGGTGTTTTGCCCTTGCGTACATCTCATGGTTACAGACATGAGACAAGCAGAGTCAAATGTAGGAAGAGGGAGATGGCTTCTTCTTCTATAAATAAAATGAAAAAAAAAAAAAAAAACCGCTTCAATGGACAAACTCCCAGAAATTATTCACGTAACTCTAATTTGCCACAACTTAGAGGCTGAGTAACCCTTGCTGCAATCAAAGTTGGGAAAATTTAGCAAAGGAAAATGGGATCATCCATGAACAAAGTAAATGGATCATGCTTTGCTTCCACCATTAGGTATTTAGGCCACCCCAGAGGAAACTACGACTCTGCTAAAATGCAAGAAGGGCGATTAAATGGACAACGGCCACAATTTTTTGAATAAAACAAAAAATGTAATTGTAAGCATTGGAGGGTAAAAGATGAAGTTAAATAATGATATTCTTTCAGTTCAGGAAAGATACGCAGGGGAAAATGAATGAAATATCCTTAATGCCTACTCTAAGGTACATTCTAAGAAAGTAGAAATGCTTGGTCCTGGGGAAAAAATGTCTCACAATTTAAGAACACAAAATTTAAGGACTTTCCTCAAGCCTCATCTTTAGAAACATTTTTCTGCATTTTTGTGAAATTTACAGAGGATAATGTTTTATTATAACCTAAAAACTATAATAGTTACCCACTACTTGGGAGAAAAATAACTTGAACTTTTCTAACCTATACTAAAACAAAAGCATCACATGTGTATCGTGATGTACTTTGAGCTTTCACGATAAAGCAGAATCAAACAGATTAATCAGGCTGAAGCATTTATTATCTTAGTAATATTTTCCACATACTAAGATTATAACAATCAGAAAAACATGTACCTAGATTCAGTCTTTCTTGACAGGCACGCTGCTACTTTTCAAGACAATTTTGCGTAGTAGGCAGTATTTGTACTTAATCATTTTATCTTTATAAATTTTGATGATTTCATTTGTCAAATATAAAAATACGAAACTGGAAAGCAAATATTTTTCATGTGACTAAATATTTATACAGAGACCAGATAACGTGGCTTTAAAAAAGATCATTCTTGAACTTTCATCAAGAACTAAGTGAGCATATTTTTCAATTCAGTGTAGATTTTTAAGGTGATGCTATTTTTACAAAAGTGTTAGAAAAAGTTATTGGTTAAAGAGTAGATAAGTTGTCACTGGTAAAATGTAAGCTAAACTGTTAAGGTATGTCTTTGGGCAAAGTCTGATTAGATTAAAACAGTTAACTGCCCAGATCAAATGACTGACCTCAAAAGATGACAGATACCACCGTTAGGCACTGGAAGTCATTACCATCAGAGAGCAAAACTTTTTATCACAATCCTTGAGAAATCCACCTCCCAAAGAAGACCGTTTCAAAGGGTATCATAACACTGATCCTCCAATGCTTTGGGCTTCAAAGTGGGTGGGGATGCCAGGTACACAGAAGAGTGTGTTTGTATGTAATTAACAGGCATAAATCTGTGATACAATAATGTAGTTCCTAAAATATATATATAAATAAATATAATAATAAAAATTTTTAAAACTACATAATCAGAATGAAATCAAATAGCAGACATAGAAATGGTTCATTTCAATGTTCAAGTCACTATAGAAATGTATTGTATCAAATGGTAATCTTAAACGAAAATGTGCCATAGAGTCAACCAGATTACTTGACCTTCGGTAATATAACACAATCCATGCTGCAAAAATGCAATTCAGTGAGAATTCAAAGTTTCTGTACATAGTCAGGGTTTTTTGTTTGTTTGTTTGTTTGCTTGCTATAGGGCATGTGCTCTCTCCAGAGAGACAGAGATAGAAAGCGAGAATCACCTCCCAGGGAAGACGGCCACGCCACCATCCCTTCTTCATTCTCTTCTCAGGATTTTGGGCACACATAAACATGTGCCCGGTATGAGTTTGAAGCCTCTAGGTCCAGGACTCAACGCAGTAAGACACATGGGAGTCGTAAGATATAATCATTACACCATCTCCCGTCCCCACAGTCAGATTTTAACACAGCAATACTTACCATTGTCTTTACAACTTTCATATCAACACATTTACTATAATTCTTTTACTATTTGTGAATCAACAATATTCATTTAGTGATATCAACAACATATAAAGCATAAAATTATGTAAAAAAATACACTTTAGATTTGAAAAATACAAAATTCTCATTGTGCACTAAAACAGTATTTTACCTTTAAAATCCCAAGCAATGTGACTTGAATGCTAACTGCTATTCCAGGAGACAAAATATGTTCTCAGACAATACATGATTTCATACACAAAATGGCTTATTATCGGAATCTCCGAAATTACTACTAGCAACAGCAATCTATATCTAAATCATGAGCTGCTGTCTTTCTTGTGGCTGGTTCACCTTAAAACCAACAAATAAGTGTGGTTGTTGGATCCAAAGTGGGCACTACAGCTTGTACCAAGTCTTTCCTCTAACGATCTATTTATTACACTAACCCCATCCATTGTCAGTCTTGCACTCCCCACTCTACCTAAATAAACACCGCACTACACAGAAGAGTTCAGAATGACAAGAACATTAGACATGTAAACCACAGAAGGGAAATATTCAACTGCTCAACAGCCAGGAGATAGATGGAAGTAAATCAAATAGAGTATAAAGTGGAACTGATATTCGAGAGAATTCCATTCTACTGCCCCCCCCACCGTAATAATTTTTCTTCTCTATCTTTTTAGTGTGTTCCATCAGGCTTTCTCCAATAGGTCTCACTATTTTCCATCTCCTACCAAATTCAAATTCAGGTTGATATTTGTACCCCCAAAATCTCATCCTTCAATAAGTCAAAAGTGGGACCAGCAGTTAGCGTAATGGCTATGTTGCTGGACTCCCACGTAGTCGACCGTGGTTCGAGTCCCAGACCCAGTGGCTTAAATTCACACTGGGCACGTGTGCGTGCATGCCCAAGATCCCAAGAGGATAATGGAAAAGAAGGGATTGCGGCATGGCCATCTCTCCTGGGGGGTGATTTCTCGCTTTCTGTCTCTCTGTCTCTCTCTGTCTGTCTGGCGAGCGCATGCGCCCTGTAGCAAAAACCTCTCCAAAAAAAAATAAATAAATAAATAAAAAATATGTCAAAAGCAACCAACTCTATAATGCCACCTCCAGCTTGTCATAGGCAAAATCAATTTCTCCGCCTTTCACTCTTGCACCTACACATCTTGCTCAACCTTAACACTCTTGAAAGCCTTTGTCATTATGCACCCTCTCAACTCCCACTTCTAGCACAGAACGGAGACCAAACCTAAACTAAACCAGTACTCCTAAAAGAGGCTTTGAAAGTGGCAGAAATAAAAGGAAACCAATGTGCTTTGGATGAATTCTCATCTTCTGTCAAAAAAAGTCACCCACGTGTTCATGATGAAATCACGAGACAAATGAGAAAAGCCACACAGGCTCTAAATGAGACCATTTTCTTGCTGACCAGGTCTCTTTAGAGTGTAAGTGTACTCTGCTGCTCTGCTCAGTTGCTGCAGTATATCTACTACAATCATAGGACCTATTCCATATTTGGAGAAATTATCAAAGATGGTGATGTTGCAGGATTTCTGAGCTGCCCAGTTCATGTTGCAGAATCACAAAGACTGAGAAGCATGACAAAAGGAAGGGGCTGCACAGCAAAGTTCATTGAAAAAGGGAGGCTCCTGGAATAGGAGGTTCCTGAAAGAGGGTTCCTGACATGGGGCTTGAGTCTGGGTTTTTATCCTCCATGGACGATCCTATCCATGGTTTTTCCTCATGGGGGAAGGGTCACCTGCTGAGTAAGTCAGGTTACTCATTTTAGAGAACTAATGGTCAATGACTGCTCAAGTCTCTATCTGAGAGGTTTTGGCCATAGAGACCACTATTTTTTTTCTTTTGTTTTTAGAATGTTGTGGGAGACCTGGAAAAAGTCATAATTAACAAGTCTTGCCATATTCTATGACTATTTTAAGCTTATCTGCAAGCAGTAATATATATGTGCAGTTTTTTTGTGAAAGCTTGACCACAGAAACTTCATGTTTGGCCCTATACCCTAACTAGAAGGAGGGTCCCTAAATCCTACCTCAGTGACAGAGAAGCAACTTTCTGATCATAGATACATTAAGAACAAGCTGAAGATGCCTCCTAAGCTATGATTACCTGTAGTGCTCACTGCTGGGAATGTTCTGAGAGAAGTATAAAGCCGATGTCCGTGCTCTCCAATGCCATTTCTTTGCAGGGAGCGTAAAAAGTACACAGTCTCCTAACTCTTCTTGGAGTAGATCCACCAGTTGCTTATGGGAGCCTCCATAAAATGCCTCAATTATGAGAATACTCATGGGTCCGTTGGAACCTTCAGCTTCTAGATAACAACCAAAAAACATTCATTTTTCACAAATATTGTTCTCAGAAATAGGTCTAAAATTCACAATCAAAAAGAAAGCAATAAATAATCTACAAATACTTTAAAAATAGGTTTATCCTACTTCTTTTCTAAGTATAAAACACCAAGGTATATATTTGTGTAATCAGTGTTTTATATTGCTTGTGTTAGTAAGAGGAAATAAAGGTGTCTTTATTTTTCAGATGGTTGTTTTCCTTGGGCTCTAAGTTTAATAGTTCTTCTCAGTTTTGTTTTGTTTTGTTTTTCTCCTACCCCAGGAAGCTTAACGCTCTCTCCTGCTGTGACCACTCACTTCCTGATTGGTTGGGCTGAGAGCCTGACTCAGTAACTTCAGAATTTGCCAGACTAGAGCTCTATTCTTGGACAATCACTGAACTCATCTCCTAATGAAGACTTGCATTCCAAGAGCCATGTCACTGTAAGGCCCTTTCCAGTTCAGAAATTATATGACTCTGTAATTTTCATATTAATCCATCTTTAAACTCAGCAGATGTAACTATCCACAACTAGTCGGTATTTTATAAAAAGCACATTTACATTCAAATCTCAATTTTCTAGTATTAAAAACTTTAGGATAAAATTTCTTAAGACACTACACATACCTTGACCACTTCTCCACTGTGGTCAATATCTCACTATCACAGAAAGACCCAAAAAGCTGGGTAAAGCTATGTCTATGAACCAGCAGGTTTTCTAAAACATTTCTTCAAACAAGAAACCTTTTAGGAGGGATGAAGTAGCAAAAATGGGGTTATTAAAGACATGCCAAAATTGCATCACAAAGAACTATTAAGCAATTTTTCATTTTAATAATATGATTTTTGTTAATGTCCTCAGTGAAATAAAAATATATGTATGAACATAAAAACTGTCATATACACTTAAAATTATATGCTATTTCCTGTAAGACATCAGGGAGAAACAGCATTATTTTCTGCATAAATGCTGTATTGTTAAAAATATTTTAGATGTTTGAAATTTCCTTTATGACATACGTAAATATTGCATATTGCTTTTCTTAATAATGCTGTTTCACAAAATTATTAGTCTCAATGACTCAATGATGCTCTTCATTAGTAAAACTGTACTTCACCTTGCTCTCTCAAGGTAATGCATACTTAAATTACATGCTAAAGTAAAATGTCTCCAGTGTCTCAAAGAAGAGGCTTAACTGAAAACACTTATTTCTTGAGAGCTAGATCTTCTAATGAGCATTTGGGGATATTTCACTTCTATGCAAAAAAAAAAGCAGCAGTGTTCCCCAGGTGGAAAAGGCATGAACCCTAGAGGCAGAAAAATGCAAGCTGAAACCTCAACTCTGTTACTATTAGCCGTATAACTTTGGACAGGTCACAAAATTCTGGAGGACCTAGTTTCATTCTCTCTAAACTGGAGATAGCAGCACTAACCTCAGAACTGTGTTGTGAAGGCCAAATTATAGAACACATGCAAAACACAGTAGCTTACAAACTGTAATAAAGTATTTATCCCCTTCCATTATTAGTATTAAGTTATTCTATTTAAGGAGACAAGGCACCTTCAAATCTTCCAGCATTTAAATGCAGTCATTTTCAGTCATGTCTGCTATCCCCCAGGCATGTGTGCAAAAGATGGATGTGCACATGCATTTGAAATGCAGTGGGGGCTATATATTCCATGAAATGTGCTTGGATGTCCAATATGAATTGGAGAGCCCCTGTAGGTTTTGTGGTAAAAGGTATGCTCAGAGGCTAAGCTATACAGAGCTCGATTTTTTTAGTACCACAGGAAACTTCTGCCCTTACAGTGCAGTGCTCAGTAAGTTAACACACATCCTCCAAATTCAACAAAGTAGTAGCCATTAATCCCTCAAATGGTGGATACTTCTAGAAAACAAGCAAAAAAAAACCAGCAAAGCCAATTTTAAAATTTACATCAACAGTTTCAAGAAAGAATAAAAGAAGTTAAACATTAATTTGCTTAGTAGATCACAACACAGATATCTACTATCTTGTTTTATTTCCTCTGACCTACTCACGCTAAGGTGTGTATGCACTATGCATCCTTAAAAGGTCTCTAAAAGGCTCTTGTCAAAATGGCCTGAGATGCTTTCCCAAGTCAGGAAATTTGATATAAGCCTCTCTAGAAAATATTTCACTAATATGACATCAAAGAAAACTATTAATACTAGAAAAAACTGCTTTCGGATTTTTCATCACTCTGCCCTTTTTTCATGAGTAATCTAAAGTATATAACATGCCCTGTAGATTACAGATGTTTCTGTGTGTCTGAATCATGAGTTATCTACAAACCATCAGCCACTGTGGAGGCAGGACATGTAGGTGCTGCTACAGATTCAAGACACTCGGTAAGCAGAACTGAAGACCAAGCATGTGGGAGGTTGAAAAATAGACAAGAGAAAAATAGATTATAGTTATAGTAGCTTTCCACCCCTTTAATAGCTCAGTAAGAAGAATGAAATGTACAGGTTTGAACTAGCATTTACTTGAGCATTTTTCTGGTGCCCAATGGGTGTGCCTGTATTTGGGGTATTTTTCTAGGGAAAGTAGCTATGTCCTACCATCTCTGAAAACTATACTTAGTGGCTTTGATTCATGGAAATTTGTTCTGCTTGCTTTGTAGAGACAGACATATCCTGGCAGTTCCCCCACTTACTTCTACTGCAACTTCTGAGGCAAGAAAATGTGTTCTTCCCTATAGTCTTCCTGAAGCACAACCTGTAAGAAAGATGATTCACATTAGACGCAGGCAAAGGGAGGGAAGCCGACTTTTAAACGTTAAGATTCAAACCAAATGTCCTTAAAGCACATTAAAGAATGGTTCAAATATTTTCACTGTGCTTGAGTTTTGTTTTAGAAAACACTCTTGAAACAAAGGAGCATGAGGTTGGAAAAAAATTTTGCTTTGCTGTTATGGTGCAAGCTGTTAATATATAAAGGGAGTACACTACTTGCCCCATTCAGAAATAGAAAAAAACTGCAGGGGGTCCCCCTGATTCCCTGGACGCTCATAAGCATGTAGGGTGAAATACTTGCATGTTTGCACTACTAAGCGAGCTGCAGAAATGGCATCAATACTGAGAATGCTAGCCCCAAGTGAGGTCTGTGTCTCCTTAATGGAAGGAGGCTGTAGCCAGGTATCTGCCAAAAGACGGCAGATGAGCCTGCACAGAGACAGACATCTGTCATAAGTGTCTGAGTTTATAGGTCTGTTAAAACATTGTCACAAGTACCCCCATGGACCTTAAACCCTGAAACATTTAAACTGAGGAGTTATCAGAAAGAGAGGGGTGGCAGCTTAAAAGGAAGAAACAACAACAACAAAAACTTATGCTGGAGAAAGAATCTCAATCAGAAAGCCCATGTCCTTTCTGCATGACATTCAAAATGATAGTATGACCATAAAAAAGAAGTATGTGACCACTCCAAAAAAGGGCATATAAGATATGTCAGATAAATTTTATCAACTTTTTTAAGTTTTCCTGCTTAAACAAGCAAGCCTCAGTTAAAAAAAAAAAAATCACTACTTCAGCACATTTTATTCCCCAGTGACACCAGATGAATGAGAATCTACTACACTATTAAAGCTTTATGGAAGTTTAATTCCTTATCAATACTATGATTTAATGATACATGGTTAAGTGCTAAGCATTATATTTGGCAATATAAAATAAGTCAAAGTGAAAGCTGTGACAGAAATTTTATACCATTTCAAATTCTATTTAAGATCACTAGAGGACAAAATAATCTGTTTAAGAATGATCTATCTCACCTAAAATTTATATTTATAATTAAAAGGGGGCACAAGGTGAAAAATAACAGTAGTATTTCACACAAATATTTTGACCAAAACAAAGTATTATTAGTGTCATCTCAATGAAAAATTAATAATCCATTGATAACAGACAACAAAAGTAGCCTAAAATCAATGCTGTTAATATTTTTAATTTTTTATTAAAACTTTTGCCGTTGTACCTACATTTATTTTTAGGCTTGACCCAATTTCTCTATTCCCTGAGCTATAATTTTCAAGATGAACTACATTTCTGTCTATCTCCTCTAGCAGTTACAAATACTACAACAGTTAAAACATTTTAACATAATAAAGGAAATATGTAATATGCAATCGATGCACTGAAAAAAAGATGTTAAGTATATACATCATATCAATTTGTTTAATCACATCAGAAATCCATAATAAGTCCTCATATCTGATGTCAATTCAATTATGTATTCAAATAATTTTCTAATCAAATATCCAGTAATAATTTTAAATCAGAAAAACCTATACATTAAAATATTTCACAGACACCATACTTCTATTAGTTGTAGGAAGGTATGGTTTCAGCAATTATGGTTTTAACAGTTTTTATCCCACACACATGAAAATCTGATCAACAGATTAATCTACGCATGGCTTGACACCTTAAAACTTCAGTAAATTGCTAAAAACATACTTTCTATTTCCCGATATATATATATATTTGAAAATTTAAGCTTGGCAGAAAAAAAAGGCAGTGAACTTATATACTAAATGGTTTAAGTTGGGGAAAGTAAAACTTGAGTAGGACTTCCCAATACGTGATCAGAGGTTTACCTGGCATTTTCTTACTGACCCTTTCTCTCTTTCTTTTCTGCACCTCCACCCACTAACTCCAACACACCCAGGTTCTATTTAAAAAATAACCAATAACCCAGCAATGTAAAATAGGGCAGTGCTAAGAAAAGCTAGTATTACCTTTCAACCCACTCACTTATTTTAATGATTCATCAGGGAAACCCCAGTTGTTAAAATATACCTGAAATCTCATTAAAGAGTAAAAAAATAAGCATGAAAAGATTTCTCCTTTGTCACCAGTGATTCCCCCAACAGAACACATTAAGGATAGGTATGAAGTAAAAATAACTTTGCTAAAAGAAATTTCCTCAAAGTAATGTGCTACATTCAATCATCATAAGGCGTGTGGGGGGTGGAGGGAGGGGGGAGGGGGGAGAAACAAAGATAAACAGTCTACTAAAAAGTTACTTCTTAAAATCATTCTATGAAAATCAAGCATAGCAAATTCATCCTAACTCCTAGAACCTCAAGACTGTAAAATAATCTGGCATCAAATGCAAAGTCATAACCTTGTGGTTCTAAAACTATATGCACTAACAATATTCTACATAAAATTAAAGAAAGTATGGCCAATAGAAAAGAATGAATCCACTTCCTGGACATTAGTTGGAATTGAAGAGAATATCTAAAGGAAATTGGCTGTTATTCTACTATTTGGTTATGGTACATACAAATTAATATTTATAACTTGTATACTATTGCATGTACATTTATAGCACTTTTTTTTTTTTTTTTTTTTTTGCTTTTAATCTTAGTTTTAAATTGAAGAAGCTGTCCAACCTTGGTGGCTCAGCAATAATTCAATGCTCATGATTCTGAGGCCATTCTGACAAAGATCCTGGGCTTATGTCCCACCAACTCCCTATGCACGAAAGGCACACATTTCTTGGTGGGGATAAGATCAAAGCCTGAAGACCCTATGGTGGTTCTCTCTCTCTCTCTCTCTCTCTCTCTCTCTCTCTGTCTCACTCTTTCACCCTGCTTCCCTCTCATGGAATTAGAAAAAAAAGGGAAAAACTGAAAAAGATACAGCAATCTAATGCTTTATATCCCCAATATGCTATGAACGTTCTAATTTCTTCAACTTGAACTTTTATTTCCGATTGTATTAAGAATTGGGGATTTATCCATCAAAACCAAGATTTGGTGAGAAGACTTAGATGCCATACTTTTTGTGTGACAATTTAAAACTATTTAAAAATGTGCCTTTCTGATTGTATATGTTGCAATAATAATTTAAGTGTATATTCTTTGTAAAGTTACAATTTTATATTCATGTGACTTTTAATTCTCCCTAACAAATATTCTCATTCTGGGATTTAACTTTCTACTTAAAAATATGAACCCTATTCCATGACTTCAATTAATTCAAAGTCTTGATTATAATTCTAAATGATCAAATATGAATGCAACAAACATTTACTGTGTACTTACCATGTTATCAGGAATTATGACTTCACTCATTTTCAAATATGCATAATTTCCACAAATAACTTGATATGCATATATTAAAAATTCATTACATTTTTACAAAGCTATATTCTATCCTATATAACAAATGTATACATCTTGTTTTGTGTGAGGAGTTTAGTGGCTTAATTTCACTGATGAATAAAATAGCAACTTTTTTCATTTTTCATTGCACTTAATTTCATGAATAATGTTAAACTGTAAAAGTAGCCAAGAATTAGTTCTACGTTATACTAAAAATATTTTCAATTTCCTGACATTTTTAAAAGTGATGGCATATTAATGAATCAACAGAAAATTTTACACCAGAAAGTCCTTTTTTCACTCATTTAAACTATGGTATTACCCTTTTAACAGGGTCTCTAAGCTACCATACAGTCTTGCTGCCATGACACATTCTCCATAAAGCAACCATAAACAATCTCTCCAAAATGGAAATCTGATCATGAGTGACATGCTCAAAATTTTCAATGTCTCCATCACCTAAAGCTAAAACCTAATGCACTATTCACAATAGCTAGTACTAATGTTCTGGCCCCTTCCTTTCTCTTCAGTCCAGTCATACCTGCCCTTCTCCCTCTTCAAATCCTCTTCCTTTACTGTTCCTCCCCCAACACTACACTGGAGCGAAACCAGGCAGCCACACTTGCACAGCTGATACACTCCTAAGACCATCCCATCAGCCTTCTTTTCATGTTTATCTGATGAACTTCTGTTAAATTTCTATTTATGAATCACTGTTGCTGTAAAGACATCCTTTAAGCATGACTTCTTATTCTGTACATTATCAACATACTTGTTTCATTCTATTTCCATGTATTGCTTTTCTATGAGCTGTGACTACTTAGAAGACAGGAACCAAGCTATGATTTTCCTGAGGGCTACTCCAGAATCTGGCACATAGTAGAAGTCACTAGGTTGTTGCAGAGCTGAACTGAAAACCATGGGGACCCAGGAAGTTGATTTCTTGTGAATTTATAGACACAATGCACTCAACTTAGCATGGGTTGTGAGCAAATAAGTGTCAGGTAGACCTGTACCTGCTACTAATGATTTCCCATTATTTACGGGATCTAAACTAAATCAAGCAGCAGACACACTGTACTATGTTCTCTTTCAAATGTTATTTTTCTTATTGTTCTCAAAAAAGTATTTATTGGAAATAATAAGTACAATTTTTATGTAGATGTATGTTTATTATAACCTACCAATACAGTAAACTAACAGTAATTGAAGAAATGAGAGAAACAGCTTAAGCGATTGAATTCCAGGCCAAAGCAAGGTTCAGGACCTTAGAGAATATCTATGAGATCCAGGAATTTTGAATATCACCTGCAGTTTTTTATTCTGTTTGATCTATTATCATCCTAGTTTAATTCTAGAAGTAGAATTAGGATGAGAAGCCAATTCTCTCATAATCAGTATAGAGATCCCATTCCACATTTGGTAATTAGGCTTTTATTTAATGCAGGGGAAAAAAGGCATTTTTAAATACTTTCTGCCAACAGTTATTCCTTTTATAAAGATTTGACAAGATGAATAATGTATTTGCTTTCTCAAGATGGCATTTTTCCAAGAGTTCTACCTTCTTGAAATGGGCTGTAAACTGGGAAGAAAACTGGTCTCTCCA